TGGTAGTACATCCCGATGAATTCGTCACGATAAGCCAAATTACAATTTTTATTCACTTAAGAATGTAATACACTAACATATGGAAGAAGGCACTGACTCCTAAAACACAGGTTTTTCATGCCTACCTCAAGAGTCAACACTGAGTGAAATTAAAATTTATTATAATTACCGCGATTACTGCGCCAGCGCAAAGCAATAATGTAGATGGGATAACGTTTCCATTCAAATTGATGATTTCAGGAAACTCATTTGTGAATGCAACACAAGGTCAACATTATAGTCAAACATGCTGAATTATTCTTTTAAATTTTGTAAAAAAAATACGTCTAGACATGCAATTGCCCATTTATGGTAAATATTCGTCACCGCTCCAACCTTGTCCTACGATAAATATTTACATCTTCAATTTAAATTCGGAACAATTTTAAATGCAACTTTATTTGTAGGACTATGAATTATATATAAGTTTTTTTTATACAAATTTTGGTACCCCTGCATATATATTTCACTTCCAAACGTCTACACATTTGGAGTCAACATACACACACACTCCCTTGTGTACAATAATACTGTCAAAAAGCCCATAAATATAAGCGAGCGTGGTGCGTGACAGTTCGGCCTTGACCTGACGGCCGTCTCGTAATATCACATTCGACTATCCATAGGTGTCACACCACTACAAACACGGTCAAAGACAATTTATCAGTGACACTATGGTATTCTAAGCGGACTTACCTACAGGAGTGTGTAGCCGTTATGACGCTTATGGGCCGCTGCCCGAATTCGAAATATGGTAGTTTATCTTTATTTTGTAGGCACATCGCATGACACATGATTGACCAACTGAATAATGTATTTTTTTAAACATCACTAGATTATTTGTGGTCGTTTTAAGATTGCTTTGTTTACTATTCTAAGTTTATATTATGTTTTACCACAAGAAGACTTTGTTCATGACAGATTTTGTTTTACAAAAAAAAGTAGTGCCTTCAATCGTGGCAAAACCTGTTATTTTTATTTAAAAATCAAACTATTTGAATCGATTTTGATAAAATTTCTATGTAATAATTTGGGTAGGCATAATAGGGTTAGTTTGGTATGGGTCCCTGGACATAAAGGGATTAAAGGTAGTAAAAAGGCCGATGAGTTGGCGAGAAAGGGATCAGAATCAAAAATGGTAGGTCCTGAACCATATGTTGCACTTGCATCAAGTGTTGTTAACTCTGCCCTTGAGGAGTATGTGAGGAAAAAACAGCAAAAGGAATGGAGGACTTTGAAGGGTCTTAGACATTCTAAAAAGTTCTTAAATAACAATGTTGAAGGATGGGATAAACTCATCTACAGCGGTGACAGACAACAGGCAAGACTCATTATGGGTGCCCTAACTGGACATATGCCAATAAGGCATATACTACACAAGATGGGTCTATCTTCGGACACACTGAGCAGACTGTGCGGGGAGAAATCGGAATCCATGGAACACTTGATATGCAACTGCGATTCGTTGGCAAGTATGCGCATGAGTCCACTGGGAATGGCTTATCCAGAGCCAGGGGACTACAGATATCTTAAACAGCGGGATATCGTTAGGGTAACACATAGGATCTATGAAATGATGGTATAAGGCAGGGGGAAGCACAAAAGATCCGTATGGGTCGACGTGCATCGGCTTACCTGACCCCATATGCGAAAAATAAGATAAGACGTTACCTATGTGAAAATAGATCCTTTAGGATAAAAAAAATAATTTTACATATAGGTTTATAAATACAATGTCTATATGCAAACAACAACAAGCAGGTTTATAAATGATGAAGTAACAAAAAAAAAATACAAACGAATTGAGAACTTCAGAATCTCGTGTTTTCTGTAAGTCGATTGGAAAAGTCGCGTGCATAAGTTTGTTTCATTGGTAGTTTGCACACCAAAAAGCTATATTGCATGGCAATTTCGGTTCGAAGGGTGGGTGGCAGTAAATTATAGGGTACGGAGACAACCCTCGGAAAGGCAACGCTTAAAAGGTCAGGGGCATCAGGGTGATGTATTCCATGATATCATGGTTCTTGTCTATAGGCGACGGTTACAATTTTTCACCAATTGAGCCCTCAGATTGTTGGCAATTTTAGGATACATAAAAATGTACATAACGCATTTTAATACAAAGTAATATAAATGTAAAATTTAATCACTAAAAACAATAATTTAATAGAATTGGAACAATCAGAAGTTTTTTTTTTATACAACTTAGAATGGCAAACAAGCTGACGGCCCACCTGATGGAAAGTGGTAACCGTCGCCTATAGACATGAGCAGTACCATGGACATAACAGAGTATACTGTTTCGCCCATGATACCTCCCATGCGTTGCCATTCCTGAGGACTCAGGTGTTATTTCTCTGTACCCAGTAAATTTACGCTAAATCCCACCCTTCAAACTGAAACACAGCCTTGCAAACCCAACTGCTTCACGGTTAAAACAGGAATGGGACAGAGGTACCCAAGCAGTCGACTTTTGTACAAAGTCACATTAATGGCTCAACCACTCATTACAAAATTTATCGCGGATTTCAGACAGAGAAAGACATAAGCTACTATCCCAGACTATTCATTTATCCCGCTCACGAGGACAAAGTCGCAGATAGAAGCTAATTCAATATAAATTAAAATACTAAACACCAATCGATAATTGGCGTGAAGGTATTATTAATAATGAATAGGCTAACCCCAATTGCATACAATATATGCTATCAGATAGATCCGCGGTCCCCCTGGAAACCATCGTGGTTAATTTCTAAATTCGCAACGGTGGACTAGCTGAGGGCCTACCATGAAATAATTTCCGAAATTTCGGGGACGAACGAAACAGAAATTTGATGTTAATATTACATAATACATGCCGTTTAAAATTATTAAAAATGTCAAAATATCGTTCCTCTGGACTATTAGGATAGGATTTATGATAAATGAAATTTTAAGCTCCATTTACTGGGTCGATTTTGGTACGAACAAAAACACGAAAATGAGCCCAAAAATTCGGAATATCATTTCATGGTAGACCAACTGACCTGACTTTATTTTCATTGTCTCATCCTTTACTGGTCGATACCCTTTGTATATCGTTAGCATAGGTGGTTGAACAATTCAATATTCATCTATTAAAAAAATTATAACAATGACAAGAGGTCATAGGATCCGCCATCTGTTTTTAGCTCTCACCGGCCGGCCGCGGTCCATCTTTTTAGAGGATTGACGTGATTAAAATTAAACTAGCGTCCATGCAGCCTATTTTAATACTGTGGGTTGCGACAGCATTATATATTAAAATTTATCAATCAGGACCTCTCCATCTTTCATAATATTCGGTGCAGCTAAAAAGCCCAATAGCAGCGACGGGTTATTTTTACGCCGTAGGTCACTGGGCCTGCGGTCCTTTGGGCTCGTGGGTGTACTTAACACTGTCTAGTTACGGTCTAGAGCATTTATCCCTCTCGCGATATAAAATCGACTTAACACGGGCTTTAGGGATATCCTGAAATCCTCTGAAGCACAACGAGAGGTAATGTAAATTAAAATGCCTATTAAAAATAACTGTGCGTTCACACAATGTGAGAAAAAATCTATTTTTTTATTATTCTTATTTTCCACGCAGCTAATATAACTATATTAGGGGGAAAAGGATTAATAATAATGGGATCTGACGTCCTCATTGCTAGCAATATACCCAGGTTCAGTCAGATTGAACTCCACGCAGTTCCTCCTGGAAACCATCGTGATTAATTCTAGTTAAATTCGTCACGATGTGCTAAACGACCTACTTTCATTCTCACCTATCATCACTTACTAGTAACTCGTCAGCGTATACCGATAGCGCAGACGGGGTTTTCATTCTATTATCATCTCATAAAACAATACAACTATATTGTATAACTTTCAACGGCTAATAACCTATCGCGAGTGGGGGGAAAGGGATTGTTAGTAATGGAGACTGAGAATCCTATTGCTAGCAATATACCCAACTAGGTCAACCTCCTCGCGGTTCTCCCTGGAAACTATCATGGTTAATTCCTAATGAATTCATCATGATGGGCTAACTGGCCTGTTTTCATTCTCATTTATCACCCTTCACTGGTGCTCCCCCAGCGTATCCCATTAGCGCAGGCGGAGTTACCGATACCATTTTCATCCATAAAAAAAAACCTATTGCGAGTTCACTCACTCAAAAACATCAATCATCAAGAATACGGCATAGAGTCTATGCCATATACTATAGTATGTATGAATGGCATGGACTATGTAGGCATATGCCTACGATATATTGGAATACAGAACATTATCTGTGACGGAACACATATAGTGCCACTCGTACTGTACTCTGGCAAAGAATAGTATTTAGAAAATCATACAATACAAACAAAACAAACGACATTGCTATGGTTTTATAATAACTATCCAAAAGTAGTAGAATTTCTAGCAACGAGGACTTGGCCTCATTGCTAGCAATATACTCTGTCAGATCGAACTCCACGCGTACCACCCGGAAATTATCAGAGCTCATGATGGTCCAATTGCATTGACTTTACCCTCACCTATCACCCTTCATTGGTACCCCACCAGCTTAAACTAATTCTTTAATAAAAAAAAATCTCAATAAAGGTGCTCTTCGTGGTAGTCACTTATAGCTAATTAATGATGGCCTAGTTTTGGATTCAAATGTTACGCATAATGTGAGAAAATAAAATGTAAAATTACATTCACTAAAACAGCAAACAGCAAACAATCTTTAAAATGACAAAAAATATGCTCACCGCTCTTGAAGCTAGTGAGCTTCAAGAGCGGTGAGCATATTAGTTGTCTTTTATAATATCCAGTATAAAAGAGTACATAGGTATAACATCTATTCGTGTCTAGAAGACGGTTGCCACCTAAGTTGCATAAAAAATCCATACCACATTGATAATCATAGCATTTTTATTAAAATTAATCTAAATACGAGGACTTACTTGGGCAATTTCCTTTCTTGTGCAGCAAAAATTTATAAAAGTGACATTGACGAAGTCAGCCCCATAGCATACGGTGACCGTCTTCTCCTCCAATGAACCCTGTGAGCCGATCAGCACTAAATTTCGAATCTTCGGATCCTGTAGAAAAATCAAGATGTAAATTTATGGTTTATCTAATAAAAAGTGGTAGCCATCGTCAATAGATATAAGTATAGATTGGCTACACCTATCCAATTGTTTACTTCAATGTGGGTGGGTAACCAGACGTGGTGCTCTGTTTGTGAGGAAACCATTTTCAGTAGTGCTCCGGCCAGAGATTATTAAAAACCTTGGTCGCGAACCTTTGTAAATGTTTCCACTCACACATTTTGAATTCTTTGGATTTTGGAGAGGCATGCCATGTTATCGTAGACAATCTATATCTAAACTGTAATATATATCTTGATATTATATACTAATAATGACTATAGCACAGGCCGATACACAAATTATACAATACCAAGCTGAGTGTATGCAGAGATGCAGACGATATGGCTCAGTATAATAGACAATTAACAGGGCTTAGTAATTCTCAGAAGGACGGCAGGTACTATCCTTAATCTATGTTACCAGACATAGTTTACGAGCGTATATTATGCTGCGACGTACATAAACACAGATTACTACAAACAACACATCAGCCTGTACTGCATAATCTATGATCGACTGTAGATCTATACTTATAATAAATCTGTAGAGGGGTCAATTCTGTACATGAAATATATTCCCAAAATAACTATCAGGGGATGATTAGTGATCGATACTGATGCCAAAAATGCAATCAGTAAAATTTTTGTCTGTCTATCAAAAATACTCGATTTTAATGAAACTTGGTACAATTATTCATCATACTCCTGGGCATGTTATAGTATACTTTTCATCACGCTACGATCAATAGGAGCAGAGCAGTGAAGGGAAATATTGAGAAAACGGGAGAGTTTACTCCATTTTTAAGCTTCCGTCGCGTGTGTAGCCTTCTCAGCCAAATCCTAAGTGTTAAATATCTAGAGTACAATTGTTTTTTTTTTTTTTTTCAAAAGTTAACCTATTTTTTATTTTTATATCAGCCATTAACTGACCACTGCTGAACATAGGCCTTCCCCAGGAGAGTTTAGCTAGTAGTTGCTACGCTTAGCAAACGGGTTGGCAACCACAGAGGCTTTGGTGTTATTTTAAAAAGTACGCTGCTGCCCATCCCTTAACCAGTTAAGTTCCCTTAGTTGCCTCTTACGAAACCCACGGGAAAGGGAAGGCTGGCCTATTCTATCCCGGGGCCACACGCATTAGCTTGTTAGGGTGGAACTAATCAATAATATCAAAATCAACCATATAATTATTTTCGATGACTAAAAATTTCAACAAAATATTATAATTGAATAGGTATAGATATTAGCTGAACACAAAACTGGTGTAGGTATGTTTTATCAGAGTCAGTGGAGCGAAGAAACGTACAGCTTGATCGTACCATTGTATGAAGTCGCTTAGAACGTGGAGAAACAATTATATTTTCAAACTGGCTTCAAAAAAGACTGTTCTCAATTCGGTTTTATTTTCTCACGTTTATTACCTCAGAACTCCCGTCATTTGTAAGCCGATTTGAAAAATTCTTTTTCTGAATTGACTAAACAGTTTAATTTTTAAACCAAAATAACTCTTTTTGTCACGATAAAAGACTTTTTTTCTAAGAAATAAAATCTTAATAAATTATTAATTAAATTTTATTTATTATCTTATTATGTCATTTGTTTGTAAATCTAATAGCCATGTTTAGGAAAAAAAAAATATTATTTTATTTCAGCCGTTAACTGTCCACTGCTGAACAGTATAGCCTTCCCCATAATAGGAGTTTTGCCAGTAGTTGCCGCGCTTTTCAGGCGGGTTCACAACCGCAGTTAGGCTTTTACAGATGTTTTAAGAGGGACGTCGCATTGATTTGGAAATAATATTACACATAACATGTATCTATCTTTTCATCTGATATTTTAAATCAATCTATTATTAAAGGCAGCGCAAATTAAAATAGTGATTTTATCCTTATTGCCGGAAAAACAGCCAAATAAAGCTAATATCTAATAATTATCATATCATGTTTTTAAGGACTGATGACATCTCTGTCCGATAACGCCTGACTGCGGTTCGGGAATACCAACATCGCATTCCTTAAATGGCGAAATTTTTTAATTCATGCCATGTTGCAATAATTTTAAATTATCATTTGCTTCGTGCTTCAGAAAGCACGTTAAGCTGTTATCCTGGGGGGTGGGGGGATTGTTAATATTGAGTATGTTACTCCTTATTGCAAGCAATATACCCTGTTACGTCAAACTCCTCATGGTCCCCTCTGGGAAACATGGTTGATTCTTGAATTCGTCACGATAGTCTCGCTGACCTGCTTTCAACCTAATCTATCATCTCTCATAGCTAGCGAATACCGATACCGTAGAGGAGCTACCATTCATTTAAATCCATTAAAAAAGCCGCCATTCTGTTAAAAACATACGAGGATTTATGTGGAACGAAAGCGACCTATATATTTTAGACACCAAAGGCTATTCGCCTCACACAAGCAATAGGATTTTTTTTCCTCTCTTACCTCTTGTTGCCATACCCACAACGACTCGTCTAATCAGCATGAAATTTGACATAAACATAGCATTTGGCAAGAGGACGAAAATATGTGAGTTACTCTTTATCCCGGTCAATCAGTGTGCCCCGGTCACGTGTACAAACGGGCACATACAGTGAACAATATTTCTAAGTGGCAACTACGAAACTCTTACTCGATACAATTTATTGGATAAGACAGGGGGTTGTTTGTACAAATTGGTGTCTACGGGGGCCTATAAAAAAGTGGACGTCGAGATTTTCTTGGATTATACCGACTTTTATTGGTCTGTAATTCTGTATGATTAGATTTTGAACGCGGCTTCGTCCGCGAGCCTTTTATTATCATGAGCCCAGAAAATCGATGTCAAGTCCAAGTTATATTTCGATATTTTTTACATCCCAAAAATAAATACCGACTTAAATTATCACAAGATTAATATGAAAACTACATTTAAATAAATTCAACTGATAAAATGATCGAAATTGCCAAAGGTATCGCGTAACATAACTTCCTTTTCGAAATCGGCAAAAAATTTAAGTGTGTGCAAATTTTTGCTGAATCTAATGGTACAAGCATACAGTGGCAACTCCAAATAATAGGAAAAGGCAGGACAGATGATGTTGACGATGAATTAAATGAAAAAATAAAACAAAACTAATACGTTATTAATATACTTATTATATAGTTATAATACTTATTATATATTATATATATTAGTTATACTATATGTACTTATGTAATTAATATTTCTTAAGATTTATTCATTTAATTATACTTTTGCACACATTAAAATGTCTAAAGGGATACGTATAAGATATGTAAATATGCCTAAGATTATGTAAAAATAACGTCTATTTCAAAAAACAACAAAGATCAGTCCGTGACAGGCGCTTCTTTAGAAGACCATCTGTATATCTCTTACAACGTCATTGAAAATCATAACTAGCAATGGATTAAGGACTATTCGTTGAGCAAAAAATTCAAGATTCTAAAATAAAAAAAAAAATAAAAGATACTTAAACTGCTTATGACAAAAAAAACTTATTAAAAACTTTAACAAGAGCATTGTCGAGGCCGCTTAACGCATTTGATAGGAATGCTGACCTCTCGTTTTTATTTATACTTCTATAGTTTATTTTTCTTTGTTGCTCATAAAATCCACACTAAATTAAATGCGTTCTCGATTACGCGAAAATAATGGTATGGTAACTAATTCATTAGTTGCATTTACCATATTTTTTTTATACAACTTAGAATGGCAAACAAGCTGACGGCCCACCTGATGAAAAGTGGTAACCGTCGCCTATAAACATGAGCAGTACCATGGACATAACAGAGTATACTGTTTCGCCCATAATACCCCCCATGCATTGCCATTCCTGAGGACTCAGGTGTTATTCCTCTTTACCCAGTAAATTCACGCCATATCCCATATATTTACTTACTAGCTATATCCCGCGGCGTCGCCCGCATGAATCCTTACAAATATTATAAATGTGAAAGTGAGTTTATTTGTTACCTTATAGCGCCTTAACGGCTTCACCAATCACTATGAAATTTTACTAAATAAATTATTATCTGTATATGTTAGTAGGTAAATTTTTTTTTTCTTTCTTTCTCAAATTTGATATACACGCACTATATGGGATGGGAGAAGAATATAAGCTACTTTTTATCCCAGCCAATAAACATGCCAGTAAAGCGAATGAAGCCGCGAGTAAAAGCTAGTCAATACATAAAATATGATACCTTTATGCTAAATTAGGACATAAATGTATTACAAATTTCATTCAAATCTGTTCAGTAATTTTGGCTTGAAAAAATAACAAACATCCATCCATCCTTACAAACTTTCGCGTTTATAATATTAATAATAATAAAACAGGTAATAACAATGGATACAATATTGTACAATTAAAATTTCTACTTTAATTTCTCTGTCCGTAAAAGTTCCTACAACCTTGACTCAGTAAAGACAGTAGTGCTTCTACAAAGTTTTACAGACAAAACAATGGAAACACGCTTCAAACGTGCTTGCCGCTGAACAAAAGTTCTAACGTAACCTAAATGAAGATAGTATAAAAGGATAAAACGGGAATGGTTACGTATTAAAGAGATTGCTAATTAAAATCGATGGGTCAGGGCATCGAAGGCGGGACCTCTTCAATGAAAATTTAATGAAAGTTCGATGCAAGTTACTTTCTTTATCGAGTTTTAGCATTAAAATTAGAAAAGGAAGAGACCAAATGGACTATGAATATTGAGATTGTGCTTCACAAAATTAACCGACTTCAAATGTGTCAAAACCAATTATTTTTGTCTAAAAATTAAAGTGCTGAACCGATTCTGATAAAATTTCTATGAAACTAATCTGTAAGTATATCCTTTCCGATAAAAATAACTAATTTTCCAAAACAGTAAAACCGACTTTAAAAATAAAGAAGACCTTATTTCAGTTGTATTTTTTTTTATGTTTTCTATCTCAAACCGT